AAGAAAACCCAATCGTTCAGTTTGAAAGTCGATCGAAGGCGAAAGGAATAACAGAGACAGCATGGCAACGGCTAGCCGTGAGTGACCGACCGGAGGGAGGTCGACGAACGACTAGACGTTTGTTTTGGAAATTACTTGAAAGATGAGATTTATCACTGTCTCAACTAAAGCCAATGGTTTTTGAACGGACATAATTTATGTGTTTTCGACCTTCGAGAATAGGGATTGCGCATTATCAGCGCTTCAAATTGAACAGAGCAATAGAATATGTACTGTAAACTACACAGTTACGAAGGGTTTTGATAACTTCGATCACAGATCGAGTCAATATCGACGAGCTACTTGTTTGTATGGAAAAACTATGAAAACTGATGATGTGCGTCAACGGCTAGCCGTGAATGACTCAAAGGAGGGAGATCGACGAACGACTAGGTATTTAAATGCTAGATTAATCCTAAAGTGTACGCTTAGAATAACCTTGTCAGGCTTCAGATAATTTTGAAAGGGATTTGACGAATGGATATTTCTCAATGAAAATATTCGACAATGTATCATTTCGTTGACAGGAGAGAAAAGAATCGGTTTATCGCTGGAAGACACAGGCGAATGTTCAAGCTTTTCAAGCAGTCTACTGTATATCGTCCTTGTATGAGTGACTTAGTAAAGCATTTATGAAAATTTCCATGGGCGTGATGTGAAAATAGAAAAACAGATGACAAAGCTCAATGGTTGGCCGTGAGTGGGAGACTGACTAGCCGTTGAGCGATGAATTTTTGAGTCAATATAGTTAGTGCTGGAGAATTATCCACTGACGAATGGCTAATCGGTCTGATTCCTAGAAAGACCTCTGTATCCTATTTATTCTAGTTCTAGTGTGTGACATAGTGCCATGATTCAGTTGAGCACTAGTAGCAATCGCAGTGCGTTTTTGTCTCTTTCAAAGTCTGTGAATGTGTTCAGCATTCGGAAAAGTCTTTTAGAGAAGGGCCAGCGAATCCAAAGGATGAGCGTTACTTGTTTATTATTGTTGCTTGTAGGTCGTAGAAGAAAGAAATGGTCACAGCTCAGCGACGTTGAGTTATCCGTTGTTAGTAGGACAATTGATGGAAGAGTTAGTTCGTTATTTGTTGTTATTATATGTTGAGTTTGATCTTTTTGCATTACTCGATGACATCTTGTTTGGTTCTGTGTTGATATGGCCCGCTTGTTTCCGATTTTTTGTACAAAAATTGGTTCAGTTTCTTCTTCGACTCGACAGTTGGTTAATTTTGAATCCGTTAATATTTCGAATAGGCAACTTTCTTGCCAATTTTTTCTGATCGGTGGTGTTTCACGACATGATGATGTTAGCTCGAAGTGACATGCTGTGGTTTCTTCTTTCGTCCATTGGATTATTTCCATCTTTTTGGTCGAGATGCTCACCATTGATGGTAATTGAGCAAGTCTTACCCTTCGATTTTCATGGTTGAAAGGCATTGGAATTAATTTAAAAGTTGAAAGTTGATGTTGATTTTTATCCGTCGCTGCAAAAAACGAGACGAATATTAAATTTCCCATTTTATCTTGATCGTTTCTTTGTGTGTTGGGTGTTGGCATAAATTCGACGCGTTGTTGTATCAATAAACGGCTGGCTACTATCGAAATTTTTATAAAAGGCAGGTGGAAGAAATTTTTGTAACTTTTGATTGGAAAGTTATATAGACCTGCGGTTTTCACCATTCGTTAGAGGAGGGTCGGGGGCAGATATCTATG